TAGGAGTGATGTTGATTAAACTAATTCTTCTGTGGTTTTCACGGGAAGACCTGTCGCCAACCTTGTAAATCGGTATGATCACCGACTCATACCATTCAGCTGGAACCTCCTCTCTTTCCCATATTGAGTCCAAGAGTTTTGTCCGGAATTTGCCCGGAATTACTGTTAGATTATACCGTTTTTCAGTACGCGCGGAACAAATCACTCATACAAAACGATTGCCCTTATGTGTCAAACTATATCGAGGATGGCAACGTTGTAAAATACAAAATGTATCTATGTCTCTACTCCTTCCCGTCAAACTTCGTTGAATCATTGAAATCATCTTTGTTCTGGTACTTTTCCATTTTTTTCATCTTTGAATCACGTGAGATTTAACCAATCTACTGATAATCGCAAAAACATTCTACGAAACGATGTCGGTACATGTAAGGAATTATGCTCAATATGTCGCTAGAATTACACCGAAGAAGCACTTCTAAATTATGGAGAAATTTGTGGCAATGATTCTTGCATCACGAATGATCTAAACTTGCATACCGATCATAATCAGAAATGGGGTTCAGAGAATTTGTTTACCGGTCAATGCATCGCACCAAAGGTTATGCCAACGGTAAGTCCGATTGGCATCACACATCATGAAAGACAACCAAATACACTTACATCTGGTTGCGATGCCGGAGCATCCTCATCACTTGCCGACTGACTAGTATTTTTGGATCGTGCGGAGTAACCTGTTGAACGCCGTCCTCGTCTTCCTCTGGGCATGATTGAGCACACCGAGTTCGTGAAAATGTATTCTGGTTTGTGTGATAGCGCTTATGCTAATGGACGAGTAGCCAGGACCTAGAAGAGGAGAAACAAATAAAGTACCCATGATAAGTATAAGCAACTGCAAAGGTGAAAATGGATCTAATTCGAATTGTCCCATTTTAATGCGGAAATCCATGAAGAACATCAGTTCGCAAAATTTACAGTTCGAACTCCGCTTAACTTCAGAAGCCGATTGGGATAAAGCCATGTGTATTCTTTTCTTAAGGGCGTACATCCGTACAATTTTAGGAGCTCTCACCAACCCAGCTCCTCGCGTTGGGAAGGCTAATCGAAATTCTGCATTTCACGATTTCCAAGTTTTGCTCCAGTTTAGGAGGAACATCGGGTGAACTTTGACGATGTCCCGCCATGTGTGCGCTTAATTTAAGTGGGCAGTCAAAAGACAGCAACCAAACCCGGCACGGTTGTACAAACTGAAACTGATGTGTGTCGTTCTACAAGAAAAACGACGAACTTTCATGGTTCAATGATTCTACATCCTAAACCTTTCTCGCTTAGCGCAAACTATTCTACACCGTAAACACCCTCATTTTCTCCTCGTTTTACCTTCGTCCTTTCTTTTTCTTTTTTTCTTTCTTTTTCATTTTACTTCCTTTTATTGAATATACAAAGATACAATTTTCAGGAAGGGGGAAGCGGCCAATCAGAGGGCTGCCATACAAGGCACAAGTGGAGAAAGTCAGGCGGTGGTGGTGGGATTCGAACACTCGTCCTCCGGGGTGATAATTGGTGACGTTACCACCGGGCCACCACTGCTCAACTGGTAAAGACGATTGCACTAACAATAGTGCTTCAGACTGAAGTTCTGCGGCTGTCCTCTCGACTACCGTCCGTTCAGTTCAGTTCAGTTTTTACAGCCATTACCATGCACTTTCGTGCGCCGGTTATGGTTGTTGTCTTCTAGTGCCCCAGTTGGATAGAAGAGCAGAGGGTTTTCATACCCTCAGGCCAGGTCTTAGTTTGACCGCTCTTCATTTTTTCCCAATCACTACCTGCCTCGCCAAGCATAGATAGCCGTGGCAACTTATCTGGTGACATGCATAAAACATGCCCCAACCAACGTAATCTATGGAGGTCGACTACCTGTTCCAGTGAACGACCGCGATTACCTAAAACTCTACGCCTAACCTCAGCATTGCTCGACCGGTTTCCCCAACACACTCGTGCAATGCTACGTAGTCACCGGTGTTCGAACACCGACAGTCTATTTGTATGCTGTTCCGGCCGTAAAGCAGAGCTGATCGAACTGCTAAAGCATATACTCCACCCTTCACAGACAACCGGATGTCGCGACGGCACCGCAGATGTCTCAAGTTGGTAAATGCCAACCGAGCTTTCTGTATGCGCGCCGACACTTCAACCGTTGTGCGGCTGCCCAG